AGCTTAGAACACAGTATTTTCATCTTGTATTTACTTTTGGTTCTTCCCCTCCTGACGCGTCTGACCAATAAGCACAATGAACATTTCACAAGATTTAAAGTAGCAGGTTATGGTTTGCTTGGAGTTTTCACTGTTTGAAATAAACTGAGCAACCCAATAATAATAATAATTAAAAAAAAGCTACAAGTTAACAAACTCATCTACTGATTCAGACCGAAGTAAACACAGTAGGTGAGAAAACAGCTGAGGAAATGAAGGAGCTGAAGTACTGAGAAGGAGAAAATGACTGACACGGTAACCAAGTGAGTACAATCAGCAGCCTGTGGAACAGCTGGGGGAGAATCTAAGCAGGGAAGTGAGAGAAGAATGAATAATGGGCATGGGAAAAACCTGAATGAAAGGGAAAGACTAATACTGACTCTAGAGTCTAAGGCAAAATGCACAGCATAGAACACAAGAAAAAAACAACTAATATTTAACCTAAATGAGTTTCATGAAAAAACTCTGACAATAACACTAAAATGATCAAAATGCAAATACAAATGCAAAGCAAAATACAAAACATCCGTGAATCAAAACAGTTGTTTTAGTTAGACTAGATGGCAATTCTTTGAAATGCAATCGTAATCTTAATGTTAGAAACATGTCCGCGTCAGAACTAGCATCACCGGTGATTTAGCACAACGCAAAATATGGAGAGTGGGCGAAACAACTTGCATACAGATAAAACGCCCGTACAAAAGAGAACAAAACCAGATTTATTTATTTGCTTTTTAAATATTTAACCTAAACCTTTTGTGACTTGCTGACTAAAGCCTCTTAGGTATTTACATCTGCTCTTTCTGGAAGAATATTGCTTTTCAGTTTCAGTCTTTGCTCGTACCTATCAGCTATCAGCTGAATTTGAAAACTGCAAAGATTATCCAACTCCTCTCAGAGGGATTTGTTGCTGTTTGGCAATAGCATAGAGCTGATTCCCTTAAGCCGAAAAAGCACTGCAGGAATTTATCTCCATTAAGCAACGGGATTAAAAGCCGTGGTGGTTCAAGGGGTTTTCAAGAGAAGGCTTTGTACTGGTAGCTTGTTCCACAGAATAACAGACAGCACTTTTACTCACTGTCTGCTTATTAAATGATGTGAGAGTAATGGCGTCGATGTTGTTTGTGTCAGTGGACAGCTAATATGCTGTCCCAAATGCTTGCAAATCTACATTCTGCCAATTTCACAAAACCTTCCTCCATTTTTCTATTATTTTGTCCACAAACATTTCCTCTGTAATTCTGAAATAGATGAAAGAGCAAAGAAATCAACAACAAACAAAAAAATATTTTTTTTTACTCAAGTTTTTTTTAATGATTTTGTTTAGTAAAGCCTGCTTTTATGTCACTATATTACTTTGATACCAAACCTTTCCACCATTGTTGACCTCCTGAAGATATAGCAAACAAATTTAATGTATATGTTTCATTCATGAGAGGAAGCCACCCCCCTGGCACTTCACTTTATTGAACAATGTAAGAACTACAAAGGCTTCTTGCCATGAATGTATGACTTGAGGGTTTGAGGCTGAAATGCAGATATTGAACACACAGCTTGTTGTTAGAGACTGTACACCAGTCTGAAAGCTGTTCTTTTCAGCAGACTTCAAAAGCCTTATATGAGGCTACTAGTACTGTTGGGAGTACTATGTGTAACAACACAAAAATTAGACCAAATGTTTCAAATTCTTTATTTTTTAAGGGTTTTTGAATGTTAACTTTCTGTTATGTTCCAGTGGATTATTGACTCTAACTCTTATAAATGGCATTGTTTTATTGTGCAAAATCTTAAAATACAAAATTATATTTTAGTCAAATTCTCATTTATCCAAACAGCCAAGCAATTATGCTTAACTGATTATATTTTCAGTGATTTTGTAAATTAAACATGATGTGTACAGAAGATTACCAGTGATCGAGCCAGGATTACAGACAAAATTTGTGACAATCTCAATTATTAGCAATCCACAGGTTATCCACCTGTGATTATTAGCTATTGGATAAATGGATAATAGCCCAGAGCTACTGTTGCCTCTGCTTGTCAGAACCTTGTTACGAATAAAATAAATAACCTGAGATTTCAAGCAGCAGGCCAGTGTCTCGTCAATATATCCAACACATGTAAGAAACATATCCACAAATCTACCAACTACTGAACAGGAGCTCCAGTAATTTCAAAACTATTCCACAGATATATTTGAGGATTCAATGTCTCATACGCTCTTTACATCACCAACAATAAAGTATTGACCCTGACGTTCTCTTGCTTAGTGACAAAATCAATAACAGTTTATTAATAAAAGAGCACTAACTTAGCTTGCAGCCTCGTTCTGCGCAGACGTGTCTCCAAATATTTCACATTGAACATAAATTCTCGTAATTTCCATTTGTTTAAAAAAAAAAACACACAACAATGATCTAGTGACTACAACTGTGACATGTTCTATTGTGGAGCATTCCTGTAGTTTAATTTTAATTTACAAACTGAATTATATGAAACTTATTTGCTTGTGGAAAACAGTTTTACAATACTGATGCAAGACAATTTGCTTTTTACAATAATTTTTTAAAAGTGCAGGCAGAAAACCCTCTCAGCTTAATTGTTTTCTGTGTAATTCATTCAAACAGATTTGATATTTACTCATCATGCCCTCCATCATAATATCTTGCACTTCTATGCCATGTGAGGCTACAGAATATTGTTATTTGAGTTCCAGCTTAGTCAAGTTGATCGACTTTTGTTACGGACATGTAAAAAGATTCTCTGACCTAAGTGCTGAATTAGAGATGCCACATGCCGCACATAGACTCCATTACTGCAAGATATGTGTTCATAGTATACAAATGTTGCAGTAGTGATCTTATTCTGTGCTATGAATGCAGACGCCATGATTGCACTAATGGTGTCGTACCTGTGTCTGCATGCCAGAAGCGTTGTCTGACGCCACCGTATGACACTTGGCCTTTCTTTTGGGTAAATCAACCCATATTTGTATCCATAAAGCCTTGAACTTGGCCTGATAAAAAGGACAATATGAGATTTGACAAAAAGTAACTTGCTCTGTCGTGCCAACGCAGCACACCGTCAGTCTTTCACTCTTCACCCCAATACACACACGTTATACACCAGCTGGATAGAATTTCAGGCACGACCTTCCTGGTACAGGATTGGACACCCTTTTGACCTCAGAACTGCCTTAATTCTGCATTACATTGATTTGTCGAGGCTTTTTAAACATTTCTCAGAGGTCTTGATCCATGTTGACATGAATGATGGTTGTATGCAGTTGCTGCAGATTTGGCAGCTGCACATTCATGATTCAAATCTCCCGTTCCACAAACATCCTAAATGTGCTTCAGTGGCCTTCAGTGAACACAGTGCCATGTACAAGAAACCAGTTAGAGATGATTTAATCTGTGTTGCATGGTGCGTTATTATTTTTTGAAGCAGCCATCAGAATGTGGAAACGTGTCTGGAAGGACAGACATGGTTGGTGACTGTGCTGACAGGCTGTGGCTTTTAAACAATGTTAAACTGCTACTGCAGGGCCCATGGTGTGCCAAGATAAATAATGACAAGACATGATGTTGTTCCATGTGAAAGCTCTTTGAAATTAGCAAGCGTATGAGTTTTTTTGTTTGTTGATTTTATAAATTATGCTACAACAATGGTAATCACTTAGTTGTCAAAAGAGTATTCCATTCAGTTTCATTGTAAGAGCCTGTATCCGAATATTCTGGACCAACTTCTTATATTTCAACATCTGAAGTTGCAATTGTTGCTTATTAGTTTCTCTGACATTTTTTTTTTCTGTTTTGCAAATCATGGCGAGCCACTTGCATTGCCTTAAACTTAAAGCACACTTAAGTTGCAACCGTTTTTCCCCGCTTGGTGTGTGAACAGATTACGCTGCACTTTGACAGAAATGCAAATGAGACAAGATTTTTACAGCAGACCTGTGTGCTTCATTAAGCCAAATGAGGCACCTGAACTTTGTACTGAATTCAGTAGGACTAGATAACAAAATGAGCCGGCACGGATACGTTGTTGCTTGAAGGAATTCTATTGCCGGGTCTCCATTGTGAATGCAGTGGTACCTTGTTAAAGTGTACTTCATCAAAGTTGCCTTTGAAGTATTAGCTGACAGAAACTATTATGTGCAGTCGACTTGACAGGTCTATAAAAAAACATCATGGGAAATTCTGAACAAAGCTGTGGAAGACAGGAAAGCTGGGGTGAATTCAGGTCTTGGAGCTCTTTTATAAATTCACTCCAATGCCAATTGTGTTTTAAACAAGGAGATGTCAAATAACATTCCTAATTTCTAAGTTAAAAAAAAAGTTTTTTATTAGAGAGAAAAGTCTAAGTGTACCAAAGAATCCAACTCTCTCCTGTTGTAATTAAAAGTAAAAAATACTGTACAAATTAGATTTTTTTTTGTTTTTTTTTGTTTTTGTTTTTGTTTTTTTGATAAACCAGAATAATTTTAAAATGAAAGAGCTCTTGATTACAACGTATAATTAATTACAGTGAAGATTAAAAGTTTGAATTCTCCGTTTTTGCTAAAATTCAGCCATAGAGAGCAATTATTCATATATTGTCATTAAAATAAGCTCATCTAAAAAAAACAAAACAACAACAACATATAATTGTATTTCAAAACAACATTTTGCATGCGTTATTATCGTTACTGACGTACTTTCAGCAAATATTGAATGCAAGTCAGTTTGTTGTGTTATTCGTTTATTCTGCATGGAGAGGTATTAACACAGCCTTGCAGTTTACTATGTATCTGCCAATAATCTAACACCAAGGGCCTAGTCTTTAAAAAGACTGGATGTGTTTTAAAACAGGTGTACCACTGCGTTATCGCCATTGGACCCGGAGAGCATGTGCTCGAGTGACACAGGTATTTAAAAGTATTAACCCGAGCCATTTCCTAACACTTATTTCCTTTACAGTGCCCTCCAGGGCTTAGTCCAATGAAAGACGGGACCGGGTGCTACGACCACCATATTGGCATCGACTGCTCCGACGGCTTCAACGGTGGATGTGAGCAGCTGTGCCTCCAACAGCTGGCCCCTCTAGAGGATGACCCAACCCTCTACAACATCCAGATGTTCTGTGGGTAAGCAACAGCACGAGTCAGCGGTTTATATATGTAATTACTCTTAATTAATTTGTTTCATAAACCTGTCATCTTAAGTCCTGTCATCACTAATGAGACGGGGTGTCATGCAGACCTTTATCCATCCTTTCATAAACTCAGGGAAGACGTTTCAGTTCAATTGTTACATATTGAAAGGGTTTTCTAGCCACTTGTAGATCCAGTCCTTGGTTGGATCTTTTGGGTTTGAATGTGAAAACAAACTCCCCATTCAAAAAAAAAAAAAAAAGAAATGCTCAAAAAACACTTTGTTTTAAGTAATGTGCAGATTTAATATTACATGAAGTACAATTCACACAATTTATACGTTTTTTTTAGTGACTTTGAAGACAATTGAATAAAAGGATTTAATATACCCTAAGCAAAAGAAAACAATTCAGCTTGGGTGCCCTTTCAATACTCTTGAAATATTTCTTCGAAGTTGGTAAAAAAAAAACACAAAAAAAAATCTACGTTAATATCATGTAGATCTGCCGACACCCCCATGCCAGCGAAACGGAGGGATGGACACAGCATGTGGCTGAGTGCCTGATATTGCTATGGCAACTAGGTGGTGACTGACAATTGATTCTTGTGGTTGGTGGAATTCATCCCTTTTCTGTCTTCATTCCATTCCATGTGTGGATATGTAAAAGCTTATATGTTTTTTTCTAGAAGTCAAGAAATTACTTCTTTCTGCACTTCTATAAGAAACTTGGTCATCTCAGGATGCATTGTTAAAAAAATCTAGACTATATTAGATAAAGCAAACTCTTAAGTATAAAACAGGAAAAAAGTGATCACATCTAAAGGGGACTGTGAGAATATTATATAACCAGCTGTAAGTACTGAATTATTCTGAAAGAAAATGCCAGGTCAAAAAGAAAGCTTCAAACCTAGTCTTAAATTTAAACATTGGCTCAACTCCCACACTGGAATTTGATGCCACAAGAGAAAAGAACTGAACTGAAAGTTTTACTTCTAGACAGAGAGGAATATGGAACTGTACGATGAGCTTAATCAAAACGTTATTAAAGCTTTTTATGCAAAGCTGAAAAAAAAAAAAGTTATTACGAAAAAAATAAACTCAAGCACACTTGTCACTGCACCAATCCTTTGGGAACATTTAAATAATTGTTTGGACATTATGCTAATGCTAGCTATGAAAACATAAATCTAATTATTTTATTTCTGAGAAAGTAAGTTCAACAGACAAAAAGTTATTTGTTACATTTTAAAGCCAAAACATGGTGATAAAGGCCTTTGTGTTACTGTAACAGAACTGTGTCAAAGTACTTGTCTGTTTTACGGTTGTTTACATAAAGACACTTGATGAACCAAGTTGGGACTGTGCCTTTTGTTGTCATTACATGTTTAACTCTCAGTAAATACTGAGAAATAAGAAGCTATGAGGACATATGTAATGCTTCAGGATGGTTGTTTCAGTGCTCTAATGTTCTCTTATTTCTTTTCCTTACATTTTCCATACAAAGTATTTTGTTCCTTGTTCCTGTCATTTCTGAACTGAATGTATTCAGTTCAGAATACTCATAAATATGCAAATCAAACTGTCACTTCTGAACGGATATATTTCTGAACAGTGTTTGAGATAAAATGTCACCTTTACTAGAGTGCTGCAATATTTTCACAATCAATCCAATTAGGTTGTATTTACTTTAGGTTCACGATTCAGAAATTCAGCACAGACTGAATAAAGTTCCCTCAACTTGTAACATTAGTTGTCGCCTCAAAATGCAGTTTCGTCTCCACTAGATGTTACTTTTGGTGTGCTTAACTAAGATCGTATTTAGTTGAGGGAAAATATCGCCAACATATCCACGATGTGCTACAGCAGATCTTTTCTCCCCTCTGCAGCCACTTGATTATCAGACAGAGGACTGTTAGGAAGGAAAGAGAGGCAGCATCTAAAAGAAATGTATGGTTGGTATAAGAAAATCATTCGTCATGATGTGTTGGTGAAAGGTTTTTGGAACAGATGAGTGGCTATGAAGGGCAAGCTCAAGCTGTAATTCCTTATGTCTGACATTTTGAGATATAGAGAGTCAGTCACCTTGTAGTGACAGCAAACTAAAATCTGTCTGGCTTTTCTTTTTTTTTTTTTTCTCCTCATATCGACTTTGGGGAAATAATATAATAATATTGATGTCTATTTTATTACACAGAGCTTGGGTATTCAGTGTCTGCGTCTGTGTCATGAGCCGTAAGGATTGATATTTTTCAGCTGATAAACAACAGCAGAACAAATGTGAGCGGTATTTTGAGTAATTTACAAATTCGGAAAGTGTCGATTCTAAATTTAAAATACTTTACAATAAATAAAGTCTGCTAGCATTGATTACCAACTTTGCTCAAATTTATCTCATACACAAACTGAATTCAAACACAAAGTGTACCACTTTAAAACCTTGAAAACTGTTATTTAAAACACAGGGTTGTTTCCTCATAGATTGCTTTATTTCAACAGACTCATGGTCCACAAAGACATGACGCACAACAACACATACAAAATAAAAATAAAGTCTTATAAAAGACTTGCACACCAATGTTTCCACAAACCCGACTGGTATCTTAATGCACTGACAGAGGGACGTGAAAACATTGCAACAAATAGGATTTCAACTTGCATGTTTTTGCAAAAAGAAATCATGAAAATCACTGTTTTCTCAAAGATGTAAGTTTTTTTCCTCTTTTCTTCTATTTCTACTTTTCCCTTGGCCTGTCACATTTGTTAAGAGATATCTTAACAAATGTGTACATTAGTGCAACCGATCAAGACATGACCACCCACATAAACCGACAGGCCAGGGAAGACATGCATTATTCAGAGACGCAGACACAAGTCCCATGGTAACTTATGAGGAGCTTCAAAGATCCACAGTTCTGCTGGAAGAATCTTATCTAGAGAGCAGCTAGTTGTGCTTTCCACAAATCTGCCACAAACCATGGAGAAGACACTTCAAATATGTAAAAAATAATAATAATAAAGAGCTCTGGTCACATGAGACAAGAATGAACTTTTCACATCAACCTGAACACACATCACTTCAAGCATGATGGAGAAGGAGTCATAACTCATTTTGTGTTTATCTTTAGTCACATTGATAACTTCAGGTGTTTTAAGATGTCCAGCTGAAAACAACACAACACAGGTGATCCGGAAAGCTGCTCGCATTCTCACTAAAACTAGGAATAAATGTTTTAAGCAGGGACATGGACGCTGGCCAGAGGGTGACGCTGGAGGATTATACAGTTGGAGGATACAAAAAGACATGGTGGAGGATTACTTTGCATCAGGACAACGCAGATAATGCAGTGGCTTAAGTTAAAGAATGTCTGTGCATATTTAGAATGGACCAGTCAAAGTTCAGAACTAGATCCAAAAGACAATCTGAGGAATGACTTGAAAATTGATGCTCACAGATGTGCTGTTTCCAATCGGCCAGAGGTTAAGCAGTTTAGCAAAGAAGAGCAAAAATGATTTATTCATTTAACTTTCAGATTTTCTCTTTGTAAAGTAACACATGTCTCAGTTATCCAGTCTTCTGCCAGTCTTGTCAGTTGTTTTGTGGGTTTTTGGGTTTGTAGTTGTGTTAATTTGTTGTTCTGTGTACCTTAGTTTATTTTTGTTAAATCAGCTTTTTCTGTTACATTCGCTTTCCTAGTGCCCCTGTTTACTCTCTCTCGCCCCCTGGTGTCATCTTCTCTCTCTCTCTCTCTCTCTCTCTCTCTCTCTCTCTCTCTCTGCTCTCCCCTCACACCTGCAACCTGTTACCTAATCAGCCCACTTCTGTTGTTGCAGCATTCACTCTCTTAGTATTTAACCACTTTTCTCTCACTTGATCCTCACTGGTTCCTCTGTCAGACTTCCTGGAATGTATTTTCATGCTCTGTGACTCTCCAAGCCTCCTGTGTTTTTGTTCCTGTGTTGCTTGTAAGTTGATTATTTTTGGCGTTTTGAGACCTCCTTATGTCTTGTCTGCACTTTGGTTCAACTCCTGCTCTCAGCATGACAGTTCTGTCTAATAATATCCCAATAAAACACAATGTTGATTTTAGTTGGAACATGACAAAAAAAAAATGAAAGTCATGTGGTATGAAAACCTTAGTAAAACAAATTTCAGAGTTGATGTTTTTTTTTCTCTTTTTTTTTGAATATCTACACACATAAGCCACAAGCGTTTCTCATTAACTTCCCTCTAATATTCAAAAGCCAGAAGCTATTGTCATCTCTCACTTAAATGTCATGCTGCAAAGCAGACACAGTATTTAACACTAATGTTACATCAGGGGGTGATTCAGACTGCTGTTTCATTTAATTCGTTGCAACAGCATTCGGTTCTCGTCTGTTCTCATAACGAGGATGCGGGTAATGCTCAGCTTCATGTGGGTGCCTAGGAATAGCTTTTTCTTCAAATCTGATATTTAGTTGGGAACTTTTTCTATGTAGTAAACATGAAAGATTATCCCCTCTTCGCCCTTCCTCTCCCCTAATTTTAGATGCTTTATTCTTTCTGTGGTTCATTTTATGGCAGGTCTTATGCGACATGTGGAAACGGCATCAGTTGGATATCAAATGTAGATTATTTGAGGATCCTTTGAAACTTTTGGAGACACGAGTTTCCTCTGAGTCCTAATCTTATTTAAAAAAAAGATTAAATACATGTTTAATACTTTACAATAAGAATTGGTAGAAAAAAAACTATTTTCTGTAATCCTGAAATCATTCCAGGTGCATCGAGGACTACAAGCGCGGTCCTGACGGGAGGTCATGCCTGCCTCTGTCTGAATCCTGTACTGAGGGTGTGGACTGCGGCGAAGCGACGGACATCCCCGCCAACCAGACCGTCTTCGGAGACCTCTTCTACGGTTACAACAACCACACCCAGGAAAGCACCTCTGGTCAGATACTGAAGGCCACGTTCAGGTAAACACCACAGCTGTTTGTGGTAGACTGCCTGCCATTTGTGCCTCAGCAGGGAGACAGTCGAGGGGGGTTAGGGTTTAGGTTCCCACAGTGCTGACATCTTTCTGATGGATCGCTTTCAAATAACAAACTCTCTATGGTGGCTGGGATAATATAGGTTGCTGCGGCAGCTGTATATGAGAGATAAAATAAGGATAAAATAAACTTTGCTGTCCTATAAGGAATGCCATTTTGGGCTATGTGCCACTTCTTTAAAAGGTAGATAAGGAAATTAGAGTGAAATATAGCAACATTTCTCAAACAAAAAGAAAAGAAAAATCTTTAACACACACATTATGAAACTATTGAGCTCCATACAGTTCAAAAGTTGCACATGAGTCACTGTACATAAAACAAAGTAATGCATATTTCAATTTGTGACGCATTTGTTCTAGCTGATTGGTTTTCATTTTAAATTGGTTCTAAGCCAGTATCTCATTGTTTTGTTGTCAGGTCTGTGTGTCTGTACCTCTCTGCCATTTTCCTCAGTTTTTGTGTTGGGAGGCAGAAAGCTAACAGAGGTATTTATAATAATGGCTACCAGAGTGCAACAAGAGATTCTCCATTCTACATTTTCTGGGATCTAATCTGGATACCTATGCTTTTATTAAAACATTTTGTGTTGTTCTTGTCCTCTTGTTGTCAGGTAAAATTAAACAAAACACTCAAACCCTGCCAGCTGTGCAGCTTGGAGTTGTGCACCTACCTTAAGTTGTCTTTTTATTTGCGAGATAATACTACACCTCAGAACAAGCCTTTTATGCATTTATTCACATTATCCTGCAGAGCTGCTAAATTTATATGCAGACTTCAGAGGCAAAGGTGGGATTGACGGGCAGAAGTTTGAAAAAACAGCTTTTGCACCACCGGGGTCCAAATGTTGTGGAAATGGTCTTAAACATCACTACTTTCAGCATCAAAGTTTTTCCATAACAAGATTATGTCCTATGAAAGGTAATTCTTTATGAGCAGGCTTGTAATCACATGTTAACCTGAACAATAGTGAAAAGTCACACAAAGCAGTTTAGTCAAAAGTGATTTCCTATTTTCATCAGTCACACATCACAGGACAGATTTTAAACAGCTTTTAGCAACTTTCATTACCCATCAGTATTGCTAGCTGTAAGCAGCTTCTCGGTCATTTGTTCCTTTTATTTCAAAGTCTTCCTACAAACTGCAATCACTTCTAAATTCTTCATCCAACATGAGGCTGTATAAACAAACAATGGAGAACAGAAAGCCAGGCTGACGGTTAGATCAGACTCTGGCCTTAGCTGACGGTTCACTGCCAGTGCAGATCTGATGCTGATATTAGAGTGGATCGCCTTCATCTCTAACCCCAGTTTGTCACTGGAAAACTTGTCAGCTCTTAAAATCTTAAATCTCAGAGAAATGTTTGATATTCTGCAATCCAGTGTTTGCCCTGGGTTCTTAATGCTTCCTGTCTGTGCTTCACCGTAAGGCGACCTAGAACTGAAACGGTTGCAGAGTGCTGACGGCCTGTTTTCAGATTCTGAACAGCAGCTGAACTCGGTGTGACTCATTCTGTCAGTAACATCAGACTCGGGGTGTATAAACAATGATTTTAGATCCTGATGTTTGGGTCCTCAGGAGGGAGAGCCTTGGCCACAAGACAGATACTGGACTGACACACAGCATCACAAAAAATAAAAATCACTCACTTTATCACCAAGTTGAAATGTGCCCGTTCAAACGTCCCTTAACAGCAATTTGTTTCATCTTTGGACTACATGCCAAAAATGTCGATCTCAGTCGGGTATTTAGTACAAGCTCTTTGCAAAATACGCTCAGAGAGTAATACCTGCAGACTATATCAGTCAATAAAAACTGAGTAGTTCAGAGAGACCTACGATACCCACTGCGCCTTCGCTTTGAGCTGGTGGTTTTAAACTTTACTAATGATCAAATAAAAGCGGGCCTTTGTGGCAGACTCCTATAATACCTCATTTTCAATACAGCACCTTTCAAAAGTATTCATATCCCTTGAACTTTTCCAGATTTTGTCATGTTGCTGTGAGACACTTCAATGTTTTTGTATTGGGATTTTATATGTAAGGCCAACACAAAATAGTGCATAAGTATTTAGTTGAAGGTAGATAACTCATTGTTTTGTTTTTAGATCTTATTTATAAAGAAAAATCTGAAGTGCAAAAATGGTCTTCAGATCTCATCTTATTACTAAATAAGTTTAATTTCAACTCAGTGTTGTGATATGTGGGCCGCTGAAACTTCCTTGAGAACGTTGGCGAACAAACATCAGGAAGACCGAGGAACACAGCAGACAGGTCTGGAGAAAGTGGTGGAAATGTTCACAGCAAAGTTGAGCTACAAAGTAAAATCCCATCTCTGCTGAGATTCAATTTTCCCAAGAAGAAAGATGAGCAAATATTTTGAGTGTGACGTCGTGAAAGTCATACTAAAAATGACTTGAGGTTGTGTTTATAGTGAAAGATCGTTTTGCACAGTGTTCACTGAGAGAGGATGAAAACATCCCACACTTTTTAGATTTTTATTTGTAAAAGGTTTTATTGACTAAACTGAAAGGAAAAAAAATTGAAATAGTGATATGTTTGAAAGGAGCTCCAAATCACAGAGTTTTTAAAACATGTTTTCAGGATAAATATATGATGAATAAAGCCATTTGAACATTTCTCTGGAAACAGAACATACTTTTTTTTTCATAGTTTGGAAGTAAAGCACATCCAGCACAACACCATTTAACCCAAGTCTGCAATATGTATCATATGAACCATGTTGGCGAGTGATTTTTTTTTTTTACATCGCCCACAGTGGTGTTGGTTTCCCAGGGGCTGCAGATCAGCCTTTGAGATTCTCCCGGGGTGGGGACGCGTTTCAGGTTGCACATTAGCAAAATGGTTTCACAGGATGTGAAAACGCATGAGATTGAATCGGTGTCTGTGAAAGTTGTTTCACGTTGGGGCAAAGATTCTTTGACATATTTTCTCTGATCTCTTCTTCAAAAAATCGAGAATGCGATAAGAATTTGCCCTCGTCCAACAAACTTTCCAATGTAAAATTCAGGAAAGTACTCTGGTGAGAAAATAGCGAAAAAAAAAAAAATCACCTCACTTTTTATCTTGAGCCTTCATGTTAAACACCCGTACAAGTTGAACTGCGCATCCTTTCTAATTTGTACAGGGTTTGATTTGACGTGGAAAGCATTTTGAGGGTGGTTAATTATCTCTGTCTGCATGCTGTAATCATCTCCACTGAACTCAGGAAGCCAGAAGGTCAGCAAAGGCATCTGTGGCCCAGGAATTTAATTTGGCCTGTGCATGGATTTTGCCGCCAGAGGCAACACACCCACTTAGGGATCCACCACCAGAGTCTCTGAGAGAGAGGGCTGGGTGAGGCTGGAAAGTTAATATCATCAATAATCTAAATCTCTACTGCTCTGATCTTATTTGAAAGAGCCTTCTGAATGGAAAGCGTGATCCGAGCCAGACTTCGACAAACACCAAATGCTTCCTGTGCGGATGAGGTGCTGGGAGAGGAATGGAGACTCTATCGGGAGGCATGGTTAATGGAAGACCTAATTATAAGAGATTGCAGCAAACGAATTAAGGCTGACCAGGAGCCAGTGTGCTGAAATTAAATTTTACTGAGCTGGATATACACTTGTGTGTAAAATGAACAAATGTTGCGTAACGTGAGCAATGTAGCTGCATGCCAGAGATCCGTTTGAGGTTTGTGAAAACTTCAGCTTATATTTTGAAATCAAACCCTGTACATTACATTTTCACACACACACACAAAAATGTCAATTTCCCTTAAAATAAGTTAAATATTATTATTAAAGGTAACCCGGGAGAATGAGTTTCTCATAGAACTGGATTAAAAATTTGACATTACAAATATATAATTTAAGCCATTTTTGAACTGAAGCATCTACTAAATACATGCACAGATGAATCACTTATTGAATCAGATGCCTGAATAAATTGTAGTAAACATTAAATAATGAATGGAACAAGGAGTCGGTAATAAAAGAAAGCGTTGTAGATGACTGAAGGGAAGTATGTTGGTTTAAATTGTAAACGTGTTCGTCGCCTCTGGAGATTTTTCCAGCATATAGAAAACATAAAAGAGTAACCCCACATGTGCTCATAGATTGAGCTTGACAGCTTTAAACAGCTGTGTCGCTTGGTTTGACAAGCAGAGTAGGTGTACGACCTGAATTTTGTTAGCAATAAGATGCATTTCGTCACATCTTAACCCAGATTTATAACTGCATAGTCTAGATTTTTAACATTTGCTGCTGGAAACAAAGTGATTTGTTAATTTTGCCCTGAGTGGATTGGCGAACTGTCCACGCGGTCCCCCGCCCCCCCCCCGCCTCTCGTACGGTGACAACTGGACAGTG